AGAAAATAAAAAGTAGAAGGTGGATGAACTTCTGCAAAAGAAAGATTTGCTTTTGTCATGAAGAAAACAAAAAAGATAATCTGGTCAGTGAAATTTTTATTTTTACATTTTTATAGGTTTAGTTTAAAATGCACAAAAATAATATTTGTATTCATGCTGGTTTCATCTTTTAAAACATTTTCTTTAAAAAGGTTTTCAAATGTCTCTTTAAATTACAAAAAGTCATGTATGTATATCATATATACAGAGAGAGAGAGAGAGAGAGAGAGAGAGAGAGAGAGAGAGAGAGAGAGAGAGAGAGAGAGAGAGAGAGAGAGAGAGAGAGAGAGAGAGAGAGAGAGAGAGAGAGAGAGAGAGAGAGAGAGAGAGAGAGAGAGAGAGAGAGAGAGAGAGAGAGAGACTTCCCTCTGTGAAGAATCAGGTACAGTAAAGATATCCATTTTTAAAAGTTTACTGTATGTTAAAAATGCATATTTGATGAATCTATGATTGTACAAACTATATTTGTGATTTCATGAGGCTTGCCTTGTTATATTCCTGAAGATGGCAGCAGAGATACACACTGCAAATACTGCTGGATTTCATGGAACTTGACTCTCCTCTACTGTTCATTTGAAAAACAATTTTCCATTACAGCTGGATTTTTATTTATTTTTTTCCCTTAACATATATATATTCTTAATTTGATCTAAAGATATTCTGCAGGTCCGTGCATGAATGTGTTTGATGAATACAGTGAAGCCAATCAAATTAATTTTCTTATTTCAGTGCACAGAGATGCAGATATTAAGTTTAAGTTGTTTCCTTATGATTATGATTTAAGATGCTATATTATTGGCTATGTTCGCAAACTAGCTCACAGAATGCAGTATACAAGCATTCTGCAATAACTAAAAACAGTATGTCACATGAGTTGCATGTGAGTAGAACCAGTTATGTTAAATAAATATGCTGCTTAATTTTGTGTAAAAAAAAAAATATCTGAAATTCTTGCAGTCTGATAAGTCAAATAGAGAATGGCAGTAATATTTCATTACACTGGAAATGGAAGGTCAAATTGAGTGCATTGCATTGTGGGATACAGTATTCCACTGCTTTGTTGTATACTGCATACTGTTGTATGCTTATTGTTTAAATACTTGCTATATTTAATGTATTATATACACTCACCGGCCACTTTATTAGGTACACCTGTCCAACTGCTCGTTAACACTTAATTTCTAAGCAGCCAATCACATGGCGGCAACTCAGTGCATTTAGGCATGTTGACATGGTCAAGACAATCTCCTGCAGTTCAAACCGAGCATCAGTATGGGGAAGAAAGGTGATTTGAGTGACTTTGAACGTGGCATGATTGTTGGTGCCAGAAGGGCTGGTCTGAGTATTTCAGAAACTGCTAATCTACTGGGATTTTCACGCACAACCATCTCTAGGGTTTACAGAGAATGGTCCGAAAAAGAAAAAACATCCAGTGAGCGGCAGTTCTGTGGGCGGAAATGCCTTGTTGATGCCAGAGGTCAGAGGAGAATGGCCAGACTGGTTCGAGCTGATAGAAGGGCAACAGTGACTGAAATAACCACTCGTTACAACCGAGGTATGCAGCAAAGCATTTGTGAAGCCACAACACGCACAACCTTGAGGCGGATGGGCTACAACAGCAGAAGACTCCACCGGGTACCACTCATCTCCACTACAAATAGGAAAAAGAGGCTACAATTTGCAAGAGCTCACCAAAATTGAACAGTTGAAGACTGGAAAAATGTTGCCTGGTCTGATGAGTCTCGATTTCTGTTGAGACATTCAGATGTTAGAGTCAGAATTTGGCGTAAACAGAATGAGAACATGGAACCATCATGCCTTGTTACCACTGTGCAGGCTGGTGGTGGTGGTGTAATGGTGTGGGGGATGTTTTCCTGGCACACTTTAGGCCCCTTAGTGCCAATTGGGCATCGTTTAAATGCCACGGCCTACCTGAGCATTGTTTCTGACCATGTCCATCCCTTTATGGCCACCATGTACCCATCCTCTGATGGCTACTTCCACCATGTCACAAAGCTCTAATCATTTCAAATTGGTTTCTTGAACATGACAATGAGTTCACTGTACTAAAATGGCCTCCACAGTCACCAGATCTCAACCCAATAGAGCATCTTTGGGATGTGGTGGAACGGGAGATTCGCATCATGGATGTGCAGCCGACAAATCTGCGGCAACTGTGTGATGCCATCATGTCAATATGGACCAAACTCCCTGAGGAATGCTTCCAGCACCTTGTTGAATCTATGCCACGAAGAATTGAGGCAGTTCTGAAGGCAAAAGGGGGTCCAACCCGTTACTAGCATGGGGTACCTAATAAAGTGGCCGGTGAGTGTATTTGTGCCAAGATAGGATTAAAAATCGCACACACCCAAACTTTTGAGAAAATTTCACATTTAAATAAGGAAACAAACCATGTGTTTCTGCAAAATAAATGGTCAGAAATATCATGCTGACTGTATCATTTGCAATGAAAATTAAATTAAATTAAACTAGAAAAGAATGCAAACAAGAAAAAAAAAAGTCAGAAAAGGCCAACTAGTCAGATTTGTAGCTTCCACTGAAATACAAGATGCAAAAAAAAAAAAAAAAAAAAAAAAAAAAATTCAAACCAGGCTTTTGCACAAATTCAACTTTCAATTTCAATTTAACTTTTCAATTATATTATGATGCTGATTGTACACACACACACACACACACACACACACACACACAGCTTTAATTAAAAAGAATGCAGAGTTTTGGCCCCACAGTTTGTGGGTTTTGCTTAAGTCTCCTGTAGATAATAACATGCTATTATACACCCCCAACATCACATTACTGTGGCAACCTGCTGACAACTGACTCATAAACAGCTATTTACTGCTGTTTTCATGTGGACAAACTCAATAAGATCACATTTGAGGGACGTAGAAAGAGATTAGCATCCATTAACAGCTCAAATTAGCATCAACACAAACCTCAAACATTAGCCTCGCTGTGCTGCATCTGGCAATAACCAACAACAAAAAAGAGATTGGTTTAGTTTAGTTAGAAAAACTGCAAATGAACAGAAATGAATTTACAATGTGGAAAATTGGTTTAGACCTGTGGCAAATGATTATAAAAAGGTTGATAGGCCTTGTCCCAAATATTCCACTGCATGTCTGTCCACAAGACCACATGGTGTTCCATTTATCATTTTATGACAACCAAATTAATTTATTCAGCAAATCCTTTCACATGCAATATCCGTGTTAGAAGAGCTCTAATAGTGTAATGGCTTGATAATGCTTTTCTTACTCGTTGTTTGGTTTCTCATGGCAGATTAAAGCTGAATGAACGTCTTGTTCCGCTGTGTACTGAACACAAGAGGGCAGCAGCAGCTCGTGATCAGAACAAAGATCATGGCTGTACAGAAATGGATACTAGCTTACTGTATGCTGACACCATTTTTGAATAGTGTGTGAAGCAGAATGCATTTAGCAACAGTACGAAAGTTTCAGCAAGAATGACAATTCAGTGACTGGTGTCCAGTTTATCTTGGAAGGTTATTTATTTGCATTTTTAATCTATTTTGTCCAAAATGGTTTCTGCTCAAATGAGTAAAGAAAGGGTTACGAAAATTACTGAGATGATCTCTTTTAAGCCCTGTGAGGAGGAATGAAACCTGCAACCTGTCAGCAAAAAAGGAAGATTCTGCATCAGATTTAAAGGGTTAGTTCACCCAAAAATGAAAACTCTCTCATTAATTACGCTCTCATGTCCAAACCCGTAAGACTTTCGTTCATCTTCAGAACACAAATGAAGATCTTTTTGATGAAATCTGAGATATTTCTGTCCCTAACATTGACAGCTACGCAACTACCACTTTGACACTTCAAAAAGTTCATAAAGAGATCGTAAAACTAATCCATATGAATTGAGCGGCAAATTTTCTGAAAAGAAATGATCGCTTTATATGATGAACAGATTTAATTTAGACTTTTATTCACATTTAAACACTGACCAGCAAGCATAAACAGAAGCTCAACCAAAAAGGCTTGATGCGCGAGAACAAACCTCATTGGTTCTTGCTGAAGCTCAAACGTGATGCGTAACACGAGAATGAACCTCATTGGTTCTTGCTGAAGCTCAAACGTGATGCGTAACACGAGAATAAACCTCATTGGTTCTCGCACGTCAAGAAATCTCTCAGATTTCACCAAAAAGATCTTCATTTGTGTTCTGAAGATGAACGAAAGTATTATGGATTTGGAACGACATGAGGGCGAGTAATTAATGACAGAATTAATTTCATTTTTGGGTGAACTATCCCTTTAAGTAAAAAAAAAGGTTCTGTAAAGTAAATTAGCACAGACATTAATTGGTCAGTTGTGGACTGAAGATGTTTATTTGGTGTACATTGAAAATCGAAAATTAGCAAACAAAACCTGATGACCTCGAACAAAGTTTAAAATGAGTCCAGGCAATCTGGCTGATCTAATTTCAGTTTTCTAAAAAACGAGAAATCTTGTTCTGCAGACGCAAACACGTTACAACAAACCAAGACCTCAAACGTCATTCTGTAGTGTAGGAAAACAATTCCAAAAGTGTTTCAAATATGTTAAGAAAGAAAAAAAGACACTACATATTGTAAATACTCGGGCAGTAAAAAGTAGATACACAGCATTTTGTGTTAAAATAAGAATATCTGACAAAATATATTTTGTTTACAAAACTTCGATACGCGAGACTACACTTAAAGCATCTGTTAAATGGTGTTTTTATATATTATCATACATGTCCATATTGCACGAGAATCGTCGGAAAACTTGGTCCTCCTCTTGGCACAGACGGAGAAGTTTTAAGTAAATCTGGTCTGTCTCAACGGAGAGTAGAAGTAAAATATTGAATAGAAATCATACAAGCATCTTAGAGTACATGTAAAAATTAATAACATATAATACTTGGTTTGATCTCCCTAATCTGTCTCTGTCTCTCTCTCTCTCTCTCTCTCTCTCTCTCGCTCTCGCTCTCCTTGTTTTAGTTCCGTCCAACCCTCTCCGTGCTGTTTCCATTGTCATTTTACTGGTCCTTTGACTCATACAACAGTTTGGCAGCCTAGACAAGCAAGGAACAGCAAACATAATATTACTATAACATAGAGGAGTCCTGAAGTTCAGAAACTCCCTACAGAAAACACAGTATCATAGTAACAACTATGGCTGGGTGAAATTGTGGTGCGTAACATGGTGGCTTTATTACTGGAAGTCCTGCTATGATGACATTATTATTAGGTTTCATAACGGAGTTAAAATATATTATTAAAACATAAGTATGACAAACAGATTGTGTTCCCATTCAAATAGAATATACCTAAAGCTTGCCTTATGGAGTACTTAACGATTTTGCAAGCAATATAAAATTAAACAAAATTGTGATTCCCATAATCATTTCAAAAGCACCTCTTATTTAGGCTTCAGTTAAAAAAAATAATTAGTAGGCAAGTTTGATTCACTTTCTTAAATCAGTTCAAACTGTCCCTTTCAAATAACTGATTAAAAACCATTTACATCACCACTGGACTCCATGTGAGGCAATGTTCATTAAAATTTTATATATATATATATATATATACACACACATTGCATATATACATACACATACAGTATATATACATATATATATATACATACACACTCACCTAAAGGATTATTAGGAACACCATACTAATACTGTGTTTGACCCCCTTTCGCCTTCAGAACTGCCTTAATTCTATGTGGCATTGATTCAACAAGGTGCTGAAAGCATTCTCTAGAAATGTTGGCCCATATTGATAGGATAGCATCTTGCAGTTGATGGAGATTTGTGGGATGCACATCCAGGGCACGAAGCTCCCGTTCCACCACATCCCAAAGATGCTCTATTGGGTTGAGATCTGGTGACTGTGGGGGCCATTTTAGTACAGTGAACTCATTGTCATGTTCAAGAAACCAATTTGAAATGATTTGAGCTTTGTGACATGGTGCATTATCCTGCTGGAAGTAGCCATCAGAGGATGGGTACATGGTGGCCATAAAGGGATGGACATGGTCAGAAACATTAGCCGCGTTTCCACTGTCGGGCCAGGGCCGGGCCGTGCTAGTGCGTGCCAGGGCCAGTCGCGTTTCCACTGTCACTTCCGGGGCTTGATCGGGGCTCACTCGGGGCCAACGGCCAGGATTTCTGGCCCGTCGAATACCTTGGGCCAAAGCGGGCCAGCTCAGGCTAGAGGAGTGGTTACGAACAAAGGCGGAGTTTACCTGAGTCGAGAGACAGGAGCGCCGATGGATTCTGTCAGCATTAAAGACTTTTAAAATGATTTAACTCAATTTCATGTTTGAATAAGGCACTGTTTGTGATCCGATGTGGATTCTGATCACCGTATAAGGTAGAAATATTTATACGCGATGCAAAAGACTATGTGCGCTAACCATTACCATAGTAAACATAGTAAAACGCTTGAAGATACGCAGTAAAAAAAAAAACATGGTGAACGCTTGAAGAAATCAGACCAATCATAAAGGCTATCACAATCATGTTTTTATTTTATCTGTCAGTAGCCTGTCTCGTCTCTTTATACCGGACTATCATAAAAAAAGCTACTTTTTTCAGGAGCTTCCTCTGTTTCTCTGACTGAAAATATCTGTAGCCTACTGGGAGTCGAGACTGTGCTAACGCTCCTCAGGTCGTATTTTTGGTGGCATATATTTGTAGAAATTATCATTCTTTCTAAATGTGATATATGTCCTGTAACTACCAAATAAACAGAAACAGCCTCAACTGAATAAGTATAGTGTGTCCTCTTTCTTTTGTGAAATAGACCTAACGGTAATTTATTTCTGTGTGACTAATGTGCAATTTTGACATAAATTAATTAATTATGATCAATGTATCACTTTTGATTGTAAACATGTGGTAAAACATCGATGCTTGGGTTTTAAATATTCAAGTAAACAACAAAAATGCCAGCAAACGGCCGCTTTTATCATGTTTGTTTTGCGATGCACGCTGTTTCCAGTGATTTCTTTCTGATTAGTTTTCTGATAAAACTTCCATTTGTTGGTGAAATGATGGGTTAGTGTGACGTTGTTCCAGAGAGGCGTGTTACGGGCGTGTTTTAGTGACGCGCTGTGGAGATTCTGGCCCGACAGTGGAAACGCAGGCCCGGTGCTACTGGCCCGAGGCTATTAGCCCGGCACGGCCCGTTTAAAGCCCTGGCCTAGCACTGGCCCGACAGTGGAAACGCGGCTAATGCTCAGGTAGGCCGTGGCATTTTAACGATGCTCAATTGGCACTAAGGGGCCTAAAGTGTGCCAAGAAAACATCCCCCACACCATTACACCACCACCACCAGCCTGCACAGTGGTAACAAGGCATGATGGATCCATGTTCTCATTCTGTTTACGCCAAATTCTGACTCTACCATCTGAATGTCTCAACAGAAATCGAGACTCATCAGACCAGGCAACATTTTTCCAGTCTTCAACTGTCCAATTTTGGTGAGCTCTTGCAAATTGTAGCCTCTTTTCCTATTTGTAGTGGAGATGAGTGGTACCCGGTGGGGTCTTCTGCTGTTGTAGCCCATCCACCTCAAGGTTGTGCGTGTTGTGGCTTCACAAATGCTTTGCTGCATACCTCGGTTGTAACGAGTGGTTATTTCAGTCAAAGTTGCTCTTCTATCAGCTTGAATCAGTCGGCCCATTCTCCTCTGACCTCTAGCATCAACAAGGCATTTTCGCCCACAGGACTGCCGCTCACTGGATGTTTTTCCCTTTTCGCACCATTCTTTGTAAACCCTAGAAATGGTTGTGCCTGAAAATCCCAGTAACTGAGCAGATTGTGAAATACTCAGACCGGCCCGTCTGGCACCAACAACCATGCCACGCTCAAAATTGCTTAAATCACCTTTCTTTCCCATTCTGACATTCAGTTTGGAGTTCAGGAGACTGTCTTGACCAGGACCACACCCCTAAATGCATTGAAGCAACTGCCATGTGATTGGTTGATTAGATAATTGCATTAATGAGAAATTGAACAGGTGTTCCTAAAAATCCTTTAGGTGAGTGTATATACACACATATGCACAGACATGCACGCGCACACACACACATATATATATATATATATATATAATAGTTACAATATATATACACACATTTTAACATAAAAATTTGTTTTTACATAGATACGATTAGGGTTATAAATATAATTTATTAAATGTGTGTATATATATATATATATATATATATATATATATATATATATATATATATGTGTGTGTGTTTTTTTTTACTTCTTGCATCAAACATTTTTAATCCAATTGGAAAAACCAATTATAAATAAATTAAATTAATAATAATATATATATATATTTTTTTTTTCAGTGTATACTTTTACTAACACCTACTTTGTGCATGGCTACAAGCCAGGCAGATGCGACGCGCTTGTCATCAGCAGTGTCCATGTAGAGATCCTGAAGGTTCTGAGATCCTGGTGGCTTGTACTGAAGCACCATGCCATTGGCACGGAGAGAACCACCTAAAACAGGTCAAAGGTCAGTGGTGGTATTTGACACAATTCTTTTTCAAGGCAACTTTCAGAGTTTGCCATGACACATGTTCCTTATGTAGTTAATTGTACATGCACAAATTAGATTTGTGACTCGCATAATACGACAGCAAAAGGGTGCTGAAGTCTGAGGGACTATCACAGCGTCACAATAAACATGCAGATGCAGCCGTTTATGAGACTGCCTTGCTTTGACATCGAGGTCACAGGAAATGAGTGCATGCAAGGTTACTTATATCATATGACAAGGAAAACAAACTAAATGGCACACATTTTAGACAAGGAAAAATAAAATAGACAGGAAGGAGAGATAGAGGGACGCTGACCTTCAGATATTTGATTGTCCAGCAAGCTCGTGTACGAGCATATATCTTTCTCTTAATGCAGAGAACAAGGAAATTAAAGAAAAGAAGAGAACGTTAAAAGGAAAGAAATATAAACCAACAGAAAAAGATTTAGGTGTGCATCACACTGCAAGTAGATGTACTGTACATAAATTGGCCCCAACAAGTATTTGGACATGCAAGTCATGCTTTAAAAGTCTAAGTGGCCCTATTTTAACGAAATGGTCCGAATACACTTTTTCCACCATATCTTTATGTACACAAAAATAATCTTTTACATTGTAATCCATTTATTTTTTATATTTGGTTAGTTTGTGCGCTGCTGCGCGTCCCTGTGTGTGTAATAAGCAGAGTGTACGCGTGCTGTGGACCCGCCTATAGGCGCACATTACTAACGCGCTCTTTAAATAACAAAAAAAATATTGCGCCATAGTTTATTGAGGATAACTATTAAGTTTAATGACTTATTGTTTAGCAAAGAAACTAATTTTTTAAGTTGTTATTTAAATAAACTAATACTTATTCATCAAGGATGCATTCAATTGATAAAAAAAGTGACCGTAAAGACATTTTAAATGTTATAAAATATTTCTATATCAATTTCATCCTGTTCTTTTGAATGTTCTATTCATCAAAAAATCCTGGGGAAAAAAAGTATCACGCTTTCCAAAAAACATTAATGGTGCAGTAAGGGATTTCTGAGAAATGCTGTTGAAAATTTAAATCAACGCCTAATCAAACAATTTTGTGAATATTTGAAAGATGTCTGTTCTGTGTGTGTGTGTGTGTGTGTGTGTGTGTGTGTGTGTGTGTGTGTGTGTGTGTGTGTGTGTGTGTGTGTGTGTGTGTGTGTGTGTGTGTGTGCTGAAAAAAATGTGTTTATAACATAGTCCTAGCTGTGTAAATAAGAGAAAAAACTAATTGGATTGGACCGATCCACGGAGCAGCACAACACACCTGTAGCCAATCATCAGTAGGGGGTGTGTCCGCTCATGATGGGGGAGGAGAGAGAGAGAGAGAGCAAGCAGGACATTTGTAGAAAGACTGTAGAAAGGAGAGATGGCTGATATATTATCAAAGAGGAAAGGTCAGAGGAATATAATGGGAAAAAGACGGGTTACGATCAGGCAATAGTTAGGACCCGTGTTAATACTGGAGAAACTTTCCAGCGCTGGAAAGACATTAGAGAGCAGGAAGGTCTGAAAAAGGAGAGACATTACGGAGAGAGCATTAGAGAGCAACAAGTTTGCGTTGTTTTTGGTCTATACGTGAGTGACATTGGTTTTGCTATGTTTCACAACCAAAATACGCTGTTTTATACAACAGTTCGTTCTGGTTCTCGAATCTGATTGGCTGATTAGCCTTTTCAAGTGAGAATGTAGTTATTTAGACCTCAAATATGGAACTTGTATATAAATATAGAACCTATTTGACAATTTGTTTGAACAATTTCGGAGATGTGAGCTCCAGATATATATATTTATATTAGCACGGCTGTGAATGATATAGAGCTCATGTATATCGTGTGATATTGCTCGTGTATGCTGTTGTTGTTGAATCACAGGTGATTCATCCATAATTGTGCGAGCTGTCTGATGCGCCAGCTGTTAGTGGTTGCCTGTGTTGCACAGTGTGTTTGTTTGGGTGTCGATTTCAAATATTAGTGTTTCTCAGAAATCGCTTACTGCACCTTTAAGCAGCACAACCGTTTTCAACATTGACAACAATCAGAAATGTTTCTTGAGCAGCAAATCAGCATATTAGAATGATTTCTGAAGGATCATGTGACACTGAAGACTGGAGTAATGATGCTGACAATCCAGCTTTGCTTTGCAACACAAAATAAAACACATTATACATATATTAAAATATATAACAGTTATTTTAAATTGTAATAATATTTCACAAAATTACAATATTTGACTGCATTTTTAATCACATAAATGCACCTTGGTGAGCATGGTGATTTTTTTAAACAAACATTATTAAAAATTATACCGACCCCAAACTTTCCCTGTGGTTGTAATGTAACTTTTAAGAGAGGGTTTTAGCATCCTCAAATGCTGTACTCAATGTTAGCAAATGTGCTAAGATCCCAAAACTTTGCTCTTCTTTACAGTCATTACATTTACCTAGTGTCTAGTGAATAGTCTCAAAAATCAATAATTGTTTATATTGCTCTGACAGGTTTCTCCTCAAAGCCTCACCTCCCGGAGTCGACCCCTCAGTCAACACCTGCATACTGGAAATGCGAGACAGCTCCACCTCAAAATGACTGTCACCGTCTAGGAAGAGATATCTAAAAGAGCAATAAAAGATACACTTTAAAGGGATAGTTCACCCAAAAATTAAAATTCTGTCTAAAGGAAGATATTTGGAAGAATGTTTGTAACCAAGCAATTCTCGCCCCCCATTGACTACCATAGTATTTTTTTTTTCCTACTATGGTAGTCAATGGGGCGGGGGGGCGAGATCTGCTTGGTTACAAACATTCTTCCAAATATCTTCCTTTGTGTAAACCAGAACAAAGAAAGGTTTGTAACAACTTGAGGATGAGTAAATTATGACAGAATTTTTATTTTTGTGTGAACTATCCCTTTAAGATATGCTACATCAGATCTAAAGAAGTCAATTTGTGGTTACCTACACGCATACCTGTGATTATTGGACAAGCGGCAGACCATGGTCTCCGATTTCTCTGAGGAACCCACTTTGACCCCGAAAGTTCCTCCTACAATGCAGGAAAAAGGCTGTGAGGTTGTCAGTGTAAATACTTATTGGTGTATTTGACAACATTTTCCATATAAATGAAAGATCTCAGTATTACAGTACCAAAAGTCCAAGTAGCCATTTTCTTTAGTCACACTGCAACAATAAACACCTTCAAACATCAGTGTTTTCAGATTCAAAACAGACTGTTAGACTTGCATTATGAGACGGCTCTAAAGTCAATTACATCCAGATTAAAAATCTGGTTGCTGTACACTACCATTCAAAAGGTTTGGGGTCTGTAAGACTTTAAAGATTTTGAACATAAACATACGAGAAGTCCCTTATTCTCACCTAGGCTGCATTTATTTGCTACAAAAATACAATCAAAACAGTAATATTGTAAAAGAATATTACAATTTTAAAAAGGCCATTTTCTATTTGAATTTATTTTAAAATGTCATTTATTCCAGTGATGCAAAGCTGAATTTTCAGCACCATTACCTCAGTCTTAAAGGCAGGGTAGGCAGTTTGTTTCTAAAACCCTTTTTCCCAAATTTGTTTAAACTGTCTTTATATACCAATACAAATCTAAAATGTAAGTACTCTGAAAAGGAGAGTATAAAAATCGAGTGTCTGTAGCCCAGAAGGGAGGGGGTGGGAGTTTCTCTGTTGGATACTTTCAAAATCTCAAAAAAGTTTCTCAAAAACTTGCCTAACCTGCCTTTAAATGTCACATGATCCTTCAGAAATCATTCTAGTAGGCAGATGTGATGCTCAATAAACATTTCTTATTATTATCAGTGTTGAAAACAGTTGTGCTGCTTAATATTTTTGTGCCATTCCATCCCTGCTGAATAAAAGTATTTATTCCTTTCAAAAGAAAATTCTTACTGACCCCAAACTTTTGAACGAGTGCTATTGAAGAAACATTTTAGGAAAGCACCGATATTAAAATTCTGGCTGATACTGGTAAGCGGATTATTTTCAGGTTAAATAAATCAAAATACCCCCCCAAAAAAAACTATTGTTTTACATGCTTCAAGTGAACCTGTATGACCGTATTATAATATACAGTATAAAACTGCATTATCATTTTGAGATGTGCTAAAGATTTAATTTCAAATCAAGTCACCTTTATTTTTTTATATATATATATAGCACTTTATACAGATTGTTTTGAAGCAGCTTTACAGTGATAAACCGGAAAATAACGATACAAACAGAATTAAATTCTGCTGTAAAGCAGCTCTAAAAAGACTATAGTAAACAGTCATTATTCAGTTGAAATCAACTGTGTTGAATCATTTCAGCTCAATAACTGTCTAAAGTACATCAATTATGTAATGAGTTCAATTAAGCTAAAAAGCAGCTCTGCAGAAAACTGTGATGTCATCATTCACATTCAGCTAAGTTGAGTTCTCATCTAACAGTGTCAGTCAAAACAGTAATATTGCTGAATATTAATATTTAACAATGTTGCTGAATTATGTGTTTTTAAACATGAACTTTAAGTCCGTTTTAGATGAAAGCAAAGGTGATTCAAATATTAAAATAGGCCAAATGAGCATGCAAAATTACATATTGAATATAGGCTCGGCCCATGTATAATTGATATACAGTACTGCATGCCTAGTTGTGATCGCAGAACTGTCTATTTTACCTGATTCCATCAGTACAGTCTTTGCCAAACACACACTCATGCAAACACAGAGTAGCTAAATTCTATTTCCAGCAGCAGTTAAGTTGAGTCTCAGGTAAAGCATTACTCATCAAGTCAGTGCTGAAGTAAGCTACAGAAGTTATGTAACATACATACGCTCTCCATGACCTATAATAGCAACATCATAAACTTTGAACAGTGAGTCTATGAATGCAAAAGTGGGAATAATCGTGTCAGTGGTCTCAAGCTAAAAGCATTCGAGTGCGTGTTTGTTCAACCCACCGGCAGTGAGCACTTTAAGCTGTTTGTCGTAAAACTCCACCTCTTTCTGTGAAATGAGGCCGCACTCCGCACACTGCCTCACCGGATCCACAAAACACATCCTGGGCAGAGACACTTTCTGACTGCAGCATTTATCGCAGAAACACCGACCGCAGCGCCGGCAGTGATGCTGACATACAAAGAAGAAACACATATTGCTTTAAATCCATTGCAATTCCACAACACAATACACACAATAACTACAAAATAGTAAAGCAAATAATATATATATATATATATATATATATATATATATATATATATATATATATATTAGGGGTGGAACGGTACACAGAAGTCACGGTTCGGTTCATACCTCGGTTCAGACATCACGGTTCGGTACGATTTCGGTACAATGGAGGGAAAAGCAAAACAAAAATGCAGAAGGCATTGTATTTTTTAAATAAGTTTTATTATATAAAGGCATAGAACCAGTTTATTTGTAGTGCACTGACAATAGTTTTATATAATTAGTTTATTAATTATTTTAATGAAAAGACAAAAAGACCTTGCGATATGTTTGGTAATTGTACCTGAATTAATTTAAAATTAATTTGCTATATTTCAGATCAATATATTTGTTTTCCTTAATTTTAATTATTAATTAACAATGTAACATTATTCTCATCTGAATTATAATTGATTTCTGTTAAAATAATACTACCATTAAAAACACATTCGATTTTCTTTTTTAATCAATGAGTGTAGAATGTGTAAGATTAGTGCTCCAAGGACAAGAAATGAAAACCAATGCAATATGACGAATGTCCAAAAGATGGGACCCACAGACTGTTTTGAAATGGAGTCGGATAAATATGTTTTTCTTTTAAAACAGTGTGTGTGTGTGTGTGTGTGTTTGTGTGATTTTGGTTGAGTGACAGTTGTAGGTTACAGTTTGAGTAAGAGTTTACAGTGTGCACAATGTTGTGTTTTATTGCGAGTGTACACAAATATAAGTAGGCTAAACACTTTGCAGGTTTAATGATCTGTATGAACAAAATTACGGAGTATGTTTTTTTTATGTTTCCACTGTTCGGATCGCGCGCGCCTCTCCCTCTCTCCCTCTCTCCCTCTCTCCTCTCTCTCTCTCTCTCTCTCTCTCTCTCTCTCTCTCTCTCTCTCTCTCTCTCTCTCTCTCCCTCTCTCCCTCTCTCCCTCTCTCCCTCTCTCCCTCTCTCTCTCTCTCTCTCTCTCTCTCTCTCTCTCTCTCCCTCTCTCCCTCTCTCCCTCTCTCCCTCTCTCTCTCTCTCTCTCTCACACACACACACACACACACACACACACACACACACACACACACACACACACACACACACACACACACACACACACACACTTCGATCTCGCCTCTCTCTCCCTCTCTCTCTCTCTCTCTCTCTCTCTCTCTCTCACACACACACACACACACACACACACACACACACACACACACACACACACACACACACACACACACACACACACACACACACACACACACACACACACACACACACACACACACACACACACACACACACACACACACACACACACACACACACACACACACACACACACACACACACACACACACACACACACACACACACACACACACACACACACACACACACACACACTTCGATCTCGCCTCTCTCTCGCGCGCGCGCACACACACACACACACACAGACACAGTCCAGCATTGCAATCTTGACATCGCAGCCTTCATTATGCGGTCACACCAAACACGAATAGAGCGTCAAATTCGCGTCTAGTTCTAGTATCTAACGGTAGTTCCGCATTACATTAATTAATTTGCACGCGAGTTTTATTTATTTTTATACCGTGTATTCTCCGTGTAAATTCGTGCACCGAACCGTGACTCCCGTACCGTTTCGGTTCGATACGAATACATGTACCGTTCCACCCCTAATATATATATATATATATATATACACACACACATATAAATGTATATATATGTGTACACTATAGTGTAGCTATTTGAAATATACACTGCCATTCAAAAGTTTGAGATCGGTAAGATTTTTTTAAATGTTTAAAAGAAGTGTCTTATGCTCACCATGGCTGTATTTATTTGATTTAAAAAACAAAAACATATATAATATTGTGAAATATTATGACCAGTTTTTATGAATTAAAATACCTGTTTTCTATTATAAAATGTCATTTATTTCTGTGATGTCAATGCTAAATTTGTAGGATCATTACTCCAGTCTTCAGTGTCCATGATTCTTCAGAAATCATTCTAATATGATGATTTGCTGCTCAAGAAACATTTATTATTATTATCAATGTTGAAAAGAGTTTTTTCAGGATTCTTTGAAGAATAGAAAGTTAAAAAAAACAGCATTTATCTGAAATTGAAAACAAATGACGTACTTTTGAACTTTCTATTCATCAAAGAATCCTGAAAAACAATTGTACAACTGTTTTCAACATTGATAATAATAATAAATTTTCCTGAGCAGCAAATCAGCATATTAGATGACTTCTGAAGGATCATGTGACACTGAAGACTGGAGTAATGATGCTGAAAATTCAGCTGTGCATCACAGGAATAAACTACATTTTTAAATATATCCAAATAGAAAACAGTGATATTAAATTGAAATAATATTTCAAAAATATTACAGGTTTTTTATATTTTTTAATCAAATAAATGTAGCCTTGGTGATCATAAGAGACCTGATTATTCAATAAAAATAATTGTTGACAAAAAAAAGAAAAAAAAAACTTTTATATGGCAGTGTACATGCACACAAGCTATGGTAAGTGTTAACCAAAATCATGATATGAGTAATTTTATATCATGGTAACAGTATATTACAATATAGTTATTTGTTTTAATTTCAGGGGAAGGAGTTTTACAACATAATGGATGTGATCTAAAAGATATATATATAAAAAAAACATTGTTTTTAATTTACATAAAAGTGTTCTGTTAGGGCTTAAAATTCTATACTATCACATAACCACAAAGACAGATATAAACACACTAAAAGAACAGTCAGTAACAGGAAAGCAAAAAGAAAAGAAAAGAAAAGAAAAGAAAAGGGGAAACAGGAAGGGAAACTTGCAATTACATACTATTGCAAAACTTAACACAAAGACACTTAGGGACAAATCAAACTGAAAGGAAGACACTCATAAAGGGTGTCTCTATAAGCAACAATACAGCAATTTCCATTGTCCTGTATGTGCGAACATTCATAACTCTGTACGAAATTACTCTTGACACAAGATGAGTCCACATGCTTACCTTCCTGGTGATGAAGTCAAACTTAGTATCACACTGCATACATCTGGGGCACTAAGAGAGGACACAAATGAAACATGAATTTCTAAAGGCTCTTTATTAAAATCCAAATATAGGGAAGAACAGGCACCTGTATATCTCTATCTGCTGCCAAGAGTCCATGGCATTTCATTAGGAAAGTGTGGCAGAACACCCTGGAGACTTAAGCTGAATTTAGTTCTCATATCTGGGCGTAGCAGCAATACAATCAAGGCCAAAACCTTTAAGGCAAAATACACAGGGATTTAAGGTAATGTTATCTGACAGCGGCCACAGTAAACCAGAAGCAGCCTGTGTGAGTCAAATAAAACACTTCAGGTCTGACCATAGTTTCGTGTCTAAGCACTTAAAGGGATAGTTCACCCAAAAATGACATTTCTGTCATTAATTACTCGCCCTCATGTCGTTCCAAACCCGTAAGACTTTCATTCACCTTTGGAACACAAATGAAGATCTTTTTGATGAAATCTGAGAGATTTCTGTCCCTCCATTGACAGCTACGCAAATACCAATTTGATGCTTCAAAAAGATAATAAAGAGATCGTAAATCTAATCCATAGAGCAGTTTGGTCCAAATTTTCTGAAGAGACTCAGTCGCTTTATATGATGAACAGGTTGAAATTAGGCTTTTATTCACATTTTCAACATTGATCAGCGAACATAAACAGAAGCTCAACCGAACCTGCTTGACGCTCATTGGTTCTTGCTGAAGCTCAAACGTGCTGCGTAACACAAGAATGAACCTCATTGGTTCTTGCTGAAGCTCAAACGTGCTGCGTAACACAAGAATGAACCTCATTGGTTCTCGCACATCAAGTGAACATGCTTGAGCTTCCGTTTACCACAACTGATGTGTGAGCTGATGAATGTTTATATCTGAATAAAAGCCTAAATTCAATCTGTTCATCATTTAAAGCGATTGTGTCTCTTCAGAAAATTTGGACAAAACCACTCAATTCATATGGATTAATTTTACAACCTCTTTATGAGCTTTTTGAAGCATCAAAGTGAAAGTCTTACGGGTTCGGAACGACATGAGGGTGAGTAATTAATGACAGAATTGTAATTTTTAGGTGAACTATCCCTTTAATACATAATCTTACAACTAAAAGCCCTAAATATCATGAGCTCAGCTATATAAATATCATGAGCTCAGCTATATAATTTATTAACATGCTTATATAATATATAGTACAGTTTCGACAATATCCTACTCCTCCCAAAATCAAATCCTTTTAAGTCGTCTATTAGTTCACAGTATTGTAAACCATTCCTGTTAGCGGGCTAAGTATGCAGGGAATTTCTTGGACAGTTGTTTCTTCCTTTAAATTTAATGCGAGAATAACACGGAATGTGTTGTACAGATATAAGATTATGCCGTTTCTGTATACCTCAGCATAATATAATGAATGGGCGTGGCTAATCATTTGACAGTCTCTTGCTTTTCCGCCATACAGAATCATTGAAGAAAGTTTGTTTCATGGCACATGCCCCAAAAATCAATCAATAACACATATAAGAGTTGTTTTCCAGTGTTTTTGTCCACATTCATGGATGTTCGCTCGCATACACACTCTACAGCACAGAGATGCATTGATTTCCATCCATCTGAGATAATGTCTGTTTAATGATCCAAGACTAGCCATCTGTTTTCTTTGTAACACCATCTGGGAAATTTGCTAAATATTTCCTACTGGCTCTTGTTGCCTTGAGGAGCAAACAACGCCCAAAGACAGAGACAGACCAACCACCACAGCTTCAGCATCATCATCATCTTCCTCTTCATCAAGATTCATTACCTCTTTATCCGGAACCCACTGCGGCTCATCCAGGGAAAATGGACTGTTGAAAGCGCCGTTTTCCGGTACCATGCGGAGTCCGCTCGGGCTCCGGACCAGCTTTTTGCCGTCAGGCACCGCGGACATATTTGTGTTTATGAGTGCGCAGCTGCTGCTGAGAAGAACAGCACAGACATCAGCAGCAGCACAACACTCACACTGGCACACCTTCAGCATAAGAGTCCTTCCTTTCACCAGTGTATTGTGAAGTATTTGGACACCTAGGGCACCATTAAAATGCTTGAATTCCAAAGTTTTCCAGCCAATTGCAAATTAAGCAATTACAAATTGCAAATGTTTTATTTTAAACGAGCCTTTAAAAAATATTTAATAATAATAATAATAATCTCGTTAACTTGGATTTACAGATTTTAAAATAAGAGTCCTTTGGATTTTATTATTATTATTATTATTATTATTATTGTTATTATTACGGCTACTGTTACAAATGTTAGTCAGTGCACTACCTTAAATGTAAAAAAAAAAAAAAAAAAAAATCCTCACAGTGTAAGTAACCATAGACTGTACAAAATTGTGGGCAGGTAGGGCACCATAGATGTTAGGGCACAATTAAAATGCATGCATTCCAAAGTATTCCTGTCAATTGCAAAACTAAAATAATCCAATACTTCATACAAATGTTTTATTTAAGCGAGCCTTTAAATTTTTTTTAAATAATCTAGTCTATGATTTACAGAAAGTGCAAAAGTATGAGTCCTTGATTTTACAATAAGAGTCCTTTTGATTTTATTTTTATCCTCTTGATTATTATTATTATAACAACAAAATACACAATTTTGAAATGTATGTGATATTTTCAGAGAACTGTGCAATGCCTCGATGGGCTTTCATATAGGTCCTGTCAGTTTTCTATTTAAAATTTCATTTGTTTCAGCTTTTTTGAAAGAGCATCAAAGCTTTTAAAACACCATATAAAATACAGTGTCATTAAAACAATTAATTGAATATAGGCGGATCATTTTTCTTTTTTCTTAATTTCAGTATTTCAGTTTTGCCGGCGTCTGATGTGCGTTAGCAGAAGAGAGTGAGACCAGTGATCTCAGATTCTGTGTTTCTTCGAGCGCAATGAAAGTGCCACCGTGGCCTTAAAAAGACAAACCTTCATTATTCTCTCAGTGCAGCTGTGCTTGATTTTCTTCACCTACGTTACAGTGTGTGTTGACATGTAAACACACACTATCGCGTTTTCGGTATATATGTAGTCCAGTGTGTTTTAGTGTAAGTGTTCAAACTGGATCACCGCAGAAGGAATAGCAAAGGAGGGAAGAGAGAGGAGATCTCCAGAAAATTCCTCCTGTCCAAAAACAACATGTTCTCCAAATTTACCTCCATCCTGCAGCACGCCGTCGAGGCGGTGAGAGCTTCTAAAACTATCTGACCACATTTAAATGACTGCTTGACTAGGGAAATGAGAAATGGGAAAGTGAGAGTCGGTCAGTGTTGATGTGCTGAAGGCCTGCTAGCTAACAGCTAACAGCTTATGTAGTAAATAACACATGACAGACAAAACTTCTGAAACGGTTTTAACAATCTCCCCATGCGTGTTTCAGGGTGTGCGTCCGCTCGATTGTGGTTTATTGGGTGTTCAATGTTGGTCTGGACATTTTAAGCCTTTGTTTGTTTGCTGTGTATTTTAGCAGCTGTGCTAAATCTTGCGCAATTCGTGGATTGTTCGGTTAAAGGTCTTCATGTACGCGAGCCTCTCGGGATTTTAATCAATGTAAAGTAATAGTTATCACATTTTAGGAGAGATATTGCTTGTATAATGTGACATGTAACGTTACAGTAGGTGTATCCGTGATAGCCTGTTAGCATGCTAGCGGCTCATTTGCAGGATGTAAACAAAACGGCTGTTACTAGGACACGCGTACGAATCAAAACTAATCTACGATTGTCTTAACATTTTTACATGGTAGTATCTAAATGCGTGTGTGTGTGTGTGTGTGTAATAAAATAATATTAAGACAGTCGTACATTAGTTTTGATTGCGTACGCGTGTCATAGTGACAGCCGTTTTGTTTACAGCCATATTTAACTTACATGCATGCATGCATTCCATTGTAATGTACATACATAAAAAGCATTTAAACACTTAATTCACATTCACAATTTTTTTTTGAATGTCATTCAATACATTAAAATATAAAATTAAAATAATGACAAAATGGCAATTGAATTAGCAGTTATTTTAAAATAGGATAGCACAAACCCTGTTTACATGCAATTTGTTTGTTTTTTACATAAGTTTTAAACAATATATAATCACGATTCTTTTTGGTCAATATTGAAATCTCAACTATTTAACAATTTTTGGTAGGCAATATGATCAACGTCTCATTTAGGTGAAGTGTCACAATTATTAATTCTTCAGCAAAAATGTATACTAGGTTATCTAATGTAAGAAAAAGGTCCTCAAAATAATTACACAAGACAAGTAAACAGTCAGCAAAGCAATGCAAGAATAAGTGTTTAACCATGTTTTAAGTTTTTCAGGAAGGTGTACTAATGGTGATATTCAGATAAGGAATAGCTTACTTACTACAACAACAAAAAATTGAATAATCAAATGTAAAATAACACTGTCTGCATAGTCTTATTGTATAGTGTACACAATAAATATAGATTAATCCTTAGTAAAGCTACTTAAGTTATTCAGTCAATGACTACAACAGGTTTATTAGGGTGCTGTCACCTTAAGAGCTAATGCACATATCCATTATACAGTTACACATGCATTTTCTTTCTTTGTTTGCAGAGGACAGATGATTTTTATTTTTAACTTAAGTGTCCAAATACTTTTGGATTGTAATGGTGTAATGCGTTATATGCATGCATTATGTTGCTGTAAAGTGCATAATCATATAGTAAGAAGAACTAGGCATTTTATTTTTATGATAGTTTGTTTTATTTTTCAGCTTGCACCCTCACTGCCATTGCAAGAGGACTTTGTCTATCATTGGAAGGCTATCACACATTATTACATAGAAACCTCAGGTAAGAGATCACCTGCAGTGATAGTCAATCTCGCTTGTTGTGCTTTATTACCAAATAACCATACGTCATCTTCTGTTCATTGTTTTGTAGATGACAAAGCCCCAGTGACAGACACCAACATTCCCTCCCATCTGGAGCAGATGCTGGATATCCTGACCCAGGAGGAGAGGGAGAGAGAGTCCGGAGAGACGGGACCCTGTATGGAGTATCTTCTCCACCACAAGATCCTGGAGACGCTCTACACACTAGGCAAAGCAGATGTCAGTGTTTTAGTTACAAGTAGTGCTTTTCACTGGTTTCTGTCAATTGCATAATCGAAGTATGACTAAATATTAGGAATGTTATCTGAATGTTTTTATGTTTAGAATAAGGCTCTGTTTCAAAACTTTCTTAGGCAGCATCTTAAGTCAAATTAAATCTCAGTGACAGATTTGTAATGCTCACACACTCAACAGTTTGTTTCAGGAGAGTTTCTCATTAGCATAATTATGTCTAACTTTTAGAACTGCCTATAATGCCTAATTTTGCTGCCTATGTAGCCAGTTCACTAGATTTGGGAAGAAAGCAAAGAGTAAAAAGTATGTGGCCAGTAGAGACCTGCTCATTTACTGTGAGTCATGTTTAGTAAGAGAGACTGTATATATAATGATTAATGTTTTGGCACGCACTACCGTTCAAAAGTTTGGGTTGATTCACTTTTTTTTTCTTTTGAAAGAAAGTAAGTTATTATTCCTTTTATTCAACAAGGATGCATTCAATTATTCAAAAGATTATGTTTCAAAAGATTAATATTTCCAATTTAATGTTCTTTTGATTTTTCTAATTATCTAAGAATCCTGAAAAAAAATCGTCGTTTTCACAAAATTATTAAGCAGCGCAACTGTTTTCAACATTAATAATAAGAAATGTTTCTTGAGCAGCAAATCATCATATTAGAATGATTTCTGAAGGATCATGTGACACTGAAGACTGGAGTAATGATGCTGAAAATTCAACTTTGCATCACAGTAATAAATTACAGGAATAAAACATTAAATTTAATTTAAATAGTATTACTATTTCACAATTGTACTGTTTTTTGACCAAATAAATGCAGTCTTAATGAGCGTAAGAAACTTTCATCAAACATTAAAAAAGCCCCCAAACTTTTGAACGGTAGTGTAAGTTAAACGATTATTATTTTAATACCTTTGATTATTTGATCTTGATCAAAGTACCAGTAAAGCAAGGGTTTTCTTTTTGTCTTTTCTTCCTCCTGTGTGCTCTTCCTTAGTGCCCTCCTGGAATGAAACAGCAGGTTTTGAGTTTCTACACCAAACTGTTGGGGCGAATTCGGCAACCACTCCTGCCTCACATCAACGTGCACAGACCTGTACAGGTGATAAGAATTACTGTCTTCACACTTTAAACATAGAAAAATCCCTTCAATCTTTAACTGACCATCATGATGTATCCTCAGAAACTGGTCCGCCTTTGCGGGGAGGTTCTAGCTGCTCCTACAGAGAACGAAGAGATCCAGTTTCTGTGTACCGTCTGTGCCAAACTTAAGCAGGACCCATATCTCGTCAACTTCTTCCTGGAAGTGAGTGTTGTGGGATGTGTGTAGTTTTCAAGATGGGCTCCGTCTGTGTAGGCAGCATATATTAAGACACGCTTCCGACACACATGGCTATATCTAACATTTAAATTTCTCCATGTGTTTCTGCAGAAAAAGAATAAAAAGTTGGATGCTGCTAAAGGTGGTGGAGCTGATTTAGTGAAAGATCCATCTTCTCCAGATACAGGACAGAATAAAAACCAAAATCCCAGTCTGGTCACATCCGCACAGGAAGGTGCAGCAGGTCAAGCCACAAGCCCAGGGGAAGCAAGTCCGTCCTCAGTCCACACTACACTGCCAAACAACGACAACTACAACCTAGTCAGTTCCCTGCTTAACCTCACTAAGAGTCCAGTAAGTGTGTCTCTCTGACTCTAAACTCTCCATCCTGATGAATTTGATTGTATGCATGTTAACGGATCTTTTCTCTTTCTCAGGATGGGCGTATTGTGGTGAAGGCATGTGAAGGTCTCATGCTGATAGTCAGTTTGCCTGAGGCAGCTGCAGCCCAATGCCTCACAGAGAACACTGAGCTCAGTCAACTCCTCACGGACCGGCTGGCACAGTTCTACCGGGCCCTTCCCCAGTCCATGGACCCTCTAGATATTGAAACTGTGGAGTCCGTAAACTGGGGGTACATGACTATCTAATCCAGTACCTATATTATATTGCTAACACTTGCAAAAGGAAATTTTTTACATTTATAAATGTTGTTGTTGTCATATATAAACTGAGCGCCCACATAGCTACAGTAAACTTCATATTCTGTAAATTGAATGCAATGCACTTACTACCTCAGATGACTACCTCAGACCATGACTTGCCGTTCTAATGATGAACAAAACACGTATGTCCGACATTCGCTGGTCATAAACCTCGTAACTCAGTTTAGGTATTAAATAATATCTAATCAAAATGTTTTCACTGGTTTCTAAACTTTCTACACTACTACTACTATTACAATTGGATTCCATGTACAATATAATATTATACATAATATTTTAACTAAATACAAAATGTTTATTTTCTATATTTTTATACATTTAATTTAAATAAACTGTTTTGAATGTTTATTGAGAGTGTGTGTATTTGTAGGCTGGATGTGTATAATCTAAAGGAGGATGCTGCTGCTTTTGTGGGCAAACGTGCCCTTATTTCCTTCCTGTCATGGCTGGACTATTGTGATCAGCTCATCAAAGAGGCTCAGAAGGTAAAGACAATTTAATCAAAAACCACAAGATGGGTAAATACTGAATCATGCTTAAAATCTGTCTACAAATGGCAAGAAAATACATAAATAAACATTTTTATCCATATCAGATATATCAAATCACATATTGAAGTGTGTGTTTGGTCAAATATTTGTGTGTTGCTTCTCTGTAACTTTAGACGGCTGCTGCAGTTCTGGCCCGGACCGTGAGAGAGCGGTTCTTTGTTACTGTAATGGAGCCTCAGCTGATGCAAACGTACGTATGTAAGCTATCTCGGGTTTGCCAGTCTCACAGACTTTGAAATTGCACCTACACCCCAAAGCTACGAATTGAACAGAAAATATGAGTTTTCTTTCTCACGCTTTCTCGTTCTTTTCATTTTTGTCGCATTCCAGCTCAGAGGTTGGAATTCTGACTTCCACAGCCCTGTTAAACAGGATCATCAGACAGGTGACGTCAGAAGCCCTACTTCAGGAGACCATTTACTTCCTGTTGGGAGAGGGAACTGGGCCAGAGACACTTGCTGGCATTACCCAGCATCCCCTGAGACACAGACTCATAGAACATTGTGACCACTTGTCAGATGAGGTAACCCTGGCTACCATGACTGCATTAATCGATGCATTTTATCCTTCTTTGACCAGATGATCTAAAGGTTTTGTGAGCTCCTAAAGGCAGGGTCAAACATTAACATACAAAATATGTATGTATTGAATATACAATATACTGTCTTTTATTTATTTTAGGGATGCACAATATATCGGCCACCTTGTCGGTATCGGCCGGTATATGTTCATTTATAATTTTTTCGTTATCGGCCAAATTTTCTTATTAGGCCAATAACGAAAAAATTATAAATGAACATTATACCAGCCGATACCGATATGGTGGCAGATATATTGTGCATCCCTAAAATAAATATATTAAAGCCAATAAACAATGGATTATTTCCTTCAGCTGAGACTCTTCAGATGCGCACTGTTCGCCTTGATGGTTTTGAACTGCTTGAAATATGATTGGAATCACTTCAAAAAAGGAAAATACAGTTAATATGCTGTCATATAGACTATATAAAATGATAATGAGAACATTATAATTGTGTGCTTGGGACATGGCTTTTAGTAGTGAGACTTTTGTTTTTGTAATTAGCTCTCAAAAATTCTATAAAAATTTGGATTTAGATTTATCGGCCAATATATCGGTTATCGGCTTTCAAATATAAAGAATTATCGGTTATCAGTATCTGCCAACATTTTCATATCAGTGCATCCTTTATTTATTGAATGGTTAGAACGCCTCTTTAATTCTAAATCATGTTCCTACCACTTTGGATTTTTAAAATGGTGATTTCCAGAACTGCAAAAATCATGGAAAGTTGTAAAATCTTACAAAGAAACTGGAAATACTAAGTCTTGGAAATGTTTTTTCAAAAAGTATGAGAAATATATTATAGAGGTCTACATTTAGAATAAAAGACGAGTGTCGGCACTATAAATTAAATAAGAAGTCGTACTCAGTCAAGGGATGTTAATGCATTCTAGATTTACTGCAGCAATTCTTAAGGTTTATATTCATGAATTTCTGGTTCTGTGTCTGGTTCTAGATAAGCATCATGACTCTACGGCTCTTTGAGCATCTGCTGCAGAAACCATGTCAGCACATTCTGCAGAACCTGGTGCTGCGCTGCTTGGAAGAGCGCAACTACATGGAGAACAAACAGCCGGAGGAACGAGAGGAGCGCGAGCACATGGAGAACGGCCAACCACATGACGCCGTGTAAGAGCTGCTGTCTCCACTGCTGCTAAACTTCCAGATCATTCTGATCAATGCGCCTGCATGCTTCTAGAACATGCAACATCATAAATGCACTGCAATTTGTGAATGAATAAAACTTAAATGCAAGTCAACCAAAGTAATATTTTTGAAATGTGTTTGGATTGGTTGCTGTGTAATGATACTAATTAATTAGTAATTAAAGGTAAAGTGTGGATTTTTTTTATGTTAAAAAATCTTAATATGCAGAAAAGATTATAATTTAGGGTGACTTCCACTGAAAAAGTGAAACTGGGTCGGTATCTGTGGCAATAAAAAAAATTGCTCTGTTTGTTTTAGCTTGCAGTGCAACATTTTCACAACCAATGCATTGAATTTAGGACAGCACTGCCTGTTTGGAGATCAATGAGAGTGGGGAAACCTGTTTGACAACAGACAAATTACACACACCACCTTTAAATAAATGCCTCATACAACATTTCATTCCTTTGTTAAACAAATGGACACACATTAATACAATTAAACTGATTCAGATATTGTGCTGAATCACAAAGTGCAGAGGAATGTTGCTTATTGAACTTATAAAACACTGACAACAGCAAGACAATGTTCAATAAATAGTTCCATTTATTCGTAAGAAGAATCTGAATAAACAATTATTCCACCACATAATATTGGTCGTAAGCCTTTGTGTTTGCCTCGCTATCCGTTAATGAGGCATTTTAAGTAACGGGTCTGAGTAATAAAAATTGTGCCAGAGTTAAATCCATTATCACTCATTCTAATAAATGGGACTATATAATGGTGGTGTTGCACTACAGTAGTTCTACATATTTGTTGCATGTTCCTTTAAAAATCTAGCTGTAGTGATGCTTTATACTACAGTTCCTTGTTTTTTGTTCTTGGGTCAGCTCTTGTAAATCTTCAGAGATCATAGCAGATATTTCTGAGAGCTGTAGTATACATGTAATAGTCTAATTACATTGATTTGTATTGTTTCCCCAGAGATCTGGAAGAAGACCCGCTGTTCTCAGATCTTTCACCTGATAACAGACTCTCTAGCCCTGATTGGTTAAGCTGCTCTCCGCCACCAAGCACAGAACATGCAAAGCCTGATGGGAAGACGGAGGTTCACAAAATAGTTAACAGGTACCGCAGGATACCCTCTATTGTGATATGCCAGATTCATAATTTTGTGATAAATATTAACTTCCCATATACAAATTCTGCGTTCTCCCCCTGTAGTTTCTTGTGCTTGGTGCCTGATGAGGCAAAATCATCCAATCAGGTTGAGGGCACAGGCTATGACACCTACTTGAGAGATGCACACAGACAGGTAAGGAAGAAATACAATAAATTGATCAAAATGCGGTGAATATTCAATATACTCCATGGCTTTATTTATTAATTTTTTTGAGTTGTGTATATATTTTGTTTTATTTATTTATGGGATTTATTTGACATTTTAAAGGCGTTGTATTTGATTCCTTTTATTGTATTTGATTTCCTCTTATGTTTGATGTATTTGTTTTTATTGGATGGGATGTTGCAATTAGTATTTGATTGTAATTTTTTGCTCGTGTAAAGAACTTTGTCTGAAAGGTGCTATATAAATAAGGTTTATTTTAAAATAAATAAAATAATTGCCAAATTGTGAAATTGGCAAAAAGTGCATTACAATTATTATACGATTTATAATAATAAATTATAGAATAAAATGTGTAACACTGAGTCTCTACGGCCCTATAAAAATTGCTCTGTTTATTTGAGCATCCAGTACAACATACTAACATTGACACAACCATTGGAGTGATTATCATCATATTTGGTTGCATGTTGACAGTTTCGGGACTATTGTGGAGTTTGTCAGAAGTGGGACTGGCGTAGCAGTCCAAAACCCTTTGAGAAGTGTAATCTGGACAGTCCTTTTTTCGAAGGACACTTCCTCAAAGTGTTGTTTGACAGAATGGGTCGAATCCTCGATCAGGTATGTGAACTGATGTGTGATAGCTCTCAACGTATTGCTTCAGAAGACTTCAAATATAGTGCTTCTATAACACTTGAATGGTGTTTTTGTCATTTTTAGATTGCTCATTCACTTTCTTTACATAGATAATACATTTGTAAAATTATGCATTTTTATTAAAACTATCTTTGGATGATGGATTTCCTCCTGATGTCTCTCTTTGTTTCACTGTCTCCATCCAGCCGTATGATGTAAACCTGCAGGTGACGTCTGTGTTGTCTAAGCTGTCTCTGCTGCCTCATGCTCATCTTCATGAGTTCCTGCTGGACCCGTACATTAACCTGGCGCCGGGCTGCAGGTCTCTCTTCTCGGTCATCGTCAGGGTACATCTGCTGTTCTCCACACTGAATCCCTATTTCAAACACAATCAAAATGATCCTAGCTCTGCAGTCTCCAAGTCTGTTAGACTGTATGTGTCATTTAGTGTAGCGCTAAATGACTGGCATTTTTGTTGGATAGTTTGAATGACTGGATAAGTGTTCTCTCTCTCTCTCTCTCTCTCTCTCTATATATATATATATATATATATATTAGGGGTGGAGCCGAACCCGAATACGGTATTCGGAAAGGTACAAATAACGTGTTTTTTACGAATAGTTATTTCGAACAAATACTTGAAAAAATATTTGTATTCGGGAACAAGAAAAACTTTATATCAAAAAGCTGCGTTTCCTCACGAGACCGCAGTGCATGCACAGATGAGTGAGTTAGAGTGAGTGAGTCGTGAGTGACGTTCAGGAAGAGGTGACTGACACAGGCTGCTCCACACAGCAACAGAGAGGGCTCGGCTGAGCGAAAAAACACTTAACTGCATCACTATTTTTGTTGAATAGATTTTTGTACCTTAACTGGGTTCCGGAGGCAGTTTATAACTTTCGGGAAGCGGAGTTTAAACGGGAGATTATTCCATTACGCTGCATTATTGACGTCTGCAGTCGGATGCTCTCATGATCGCTCTGTTTACGTAGCTCTGTTAGCTCGGTAATTTAGACAATAGGCTGTTGACAGAGTAATGTTAACGTTCGGTTAAAAAGGTTAAAAAATGCTTGTGTAGTTGTGTCGAATTGTATGCACTTGTGGGAGTTATATGGTACGCAGACATCCCAAGTCTCTATTGATAGCGGCTCCCTAAAATTAGTTCAAATCTCCCGGAATCTAACGCGCATGCGAGAGAGAACATACTGTGCTCCAAACCGTGTAGCGCGCGCACGGAAGAGAGAGGGAGAGAGCGAGAGACCTTGCGTGTATGCGTTATGAAAGCTAGATTTTTAGGCCTATTTTGAATTTTACTCGAATACGAATACAAATACGAATACTTTTCCCCCCTCAACAAATACAAATACAGATACAAATACCGGCTGCTTTGCACACCCCTAATATATATATATATTATATTTAGACACCTCAAAGACTGTTTAACCCACTGTTTGTGTTGATGGTTTGATCAGGTGGTTGGTGATCTGATGTTGCGAACTCACCGCATCCCTGAGTTCACCCCTAAACTCCTCCTGGTGAGGAAGAGACTGCTGGGACTAGAGCCAGAGGGGATGAGGTAAGGCTTTGATTTATTTATGTATTTGTATTTGCACAAAAATCATGAGCAAAGATTACATTTTCCAACATGAATGCATAAAATGCCATAGCGGGCCCTACAGTGAAAGTGATTTTTTTTAAGTTAAACCATTGAAGTAGACCATTTATAAATCGATTGTATCATGTTTAATGTACCATTTATATCCAGCATATATAAATATTTATATACAGTATATACAGTTCTGTGCAAATTCTTAGGGACGTTAGTATTTTAACCAGAAAAAATGGTTTCAAGCCAGTTATTTATATCTTTTGCGGTAGTGTGTCAGTAGGAAATATCAGTTTACATTTCCAAACATTCCTTTTGCCAATAATTGTAATATATATATATATCGTATATATTCATTACAGACCCGTAGCACTGGGTTAAAAATATTGATTTCTCGATTTTAATCAATTCTCATTTTGATGAACTGATATCGATTCTTAAATCCCAAGAATCTATATTTTTGGTCTTTTTTTAGTTGATTCATGAACACTAAACATTTATTAACACTAAAACATTATTTTTAGCCTGCCTCCAGTGTCTCCAGGGTCAGTTCAGAGAGATTTTTCCCCCCTTGAGAACATTTACATGTACTTTACCTGATATACACTCACCTAAAGGATTATTAGGAACACCTGTTCAATTTCTCATTAATGCAATTATCTATTCAACCAATCATATGGCAGTTGCTTCAATGCATTTAGGGGTATGGTCCTGGTCAAGACAGTCTCCTGAACTCCAAACTGAATGTCAGAATGGGAAAGAAAGGTGATTTAAGCAATTTTGAGCGTGGCATAGTTGTTGGTGCCAGACGGGCCGGTCTGAGTATTTCACAATCTGCTCAGCTACTGGGATTTTCACGCACAACCATTTCTAGGGTTTACAAAGAATGGTGTGAAAAGGGAAAAACATCCAGTATACGGCAGTCCTGTGGGCGAAAATGCCTTGTTGATGCTAGAGGTCAGAGGAGAATGGGCCGACTGATTCAAGCTGATAGAAGAGCAGCTTTGACTGAAATAACCACTCGTTACAACCGAGGTATGCAGCAAAGCATTTGTGAAGCCACAACACGCACAACCTTGAGGCGGATGGGCTACAACAGCAGAAGACCCCACCGGGTACCACTCATCTCCACTACAAATAGGAAAAAGAGGCTACAATTTGCAAGAGCTCACCAAAATTGGACAGGAAGAAGACTGGAAAAATGTTGCCTGGTCTGATGTGTCTCGATTTCTGTTGAGACATTCAGATGGTAGAGTCAGAATTTGGCGTAAACAGAATGAGAACATGGATCCATCATGCCTTGTTACCACTGTGCAGGCTGGTGGTGGTGGTGTAATGGTGTGGGGGATGTTTTCTTGGCACACTTTAGGCCCCTTAGTGCCAATTGGGCATCGTTTAAATGCCACGGCCTACCTGAGCATAGTTTCTGACCATGTCCATCCCTTTATGGCCACCATGTACCCATCCTCTGATGGCTACTTCCAGCAGGATAATGCACCATGTCACAAAGCTCGAATCATTTCAAATTGGTTTCTTGAACATGACAATGAGTTCACTGTACTAAAATGGCCCCCACAGTCACCAGATCTCAACCCAATAGAGCATCTTTGGGAGGTGGTGGAACGGGAGCTTCGTGCCCTGGATGTGCATCCCACAAATCTCCATCAACTGCAAGATGCTATCCTATCAATATGGGCCAACATTTCTAAAGAATGCTTTCAGCACCTTGTTGAATCAATGCCACATAGAATTAAGGCAGTTCTGAAGGCGAAAGGGGGTCAAACAGTATTAGTATGGTGTTCCTAATAATCCTTTAGGTGAGTGTATATCCAAATTAATAAATACTGAATCAAATAGCAAGCTTGTGAATCGAAATCGAATTTTGAAATTTGTGGCAATGGCTAGCCCTATTTTGCAGCCTGATCAGAGACTTGTTTCTTTACTGTGTATCTGTTTTTCTGTGATAAAGAGGTTCATCTTTGTCTTACAGCGTTGATCATGTGACTTTGCTCGAGGGGGTTATTGTTCTGGAGGAATTCTGCAAAGAGCTCGCGGCTATCGCTTTTGTGAAGTTCCATGCGTCCGCCTCCACTTCCCCCTAATCTTGGTTGTGCGCCGGACACAAACAAATTAATAAACAGACGAAAGGGGGCAGATGACACAGGAACGACAAACCCAACTGTACTCATCCCTCGGCGCAGACTGCTCCCTGCGGCAGGACTCGCATTCAAGGATGCTTCATTCGTGTTATCTCTGGGATATTTCCATAACTATGACTGAGCGTTCTGTTTTAAAGGCACCGAAGAGGAAATTTTGAAAGAGATTGTGACTCTCATGGAACAGCCCATGTGGAAGGAGAGAGAGGATTTTGTAGCATTCATATGTACCGAAAAGAAACTGTAACTTCCGAACGAAAGAATGGTAATGCCAAAAAAAATTATGTTTAAAGTAGAAAAAAAGGAATTGACTTAAATTTGATTCAAATAGTGAAATTAAATTAAATATTTAATTAATGATTATTGTTTGTCATTTGCAGTATCAAAGATACTGTCATCTGTTCTCTGTTCTTTAAAGGAAAAATAGTGTGAATACAAATGTCAAATGCAACATAAGTTAATTTGCAATGAAACATTGCAATAACTCAGGATTCAAAGTCTAGGTGTTTTTAAATAATTGGAGAACTAGACAACGAGCAACGTTTTTAAACAAATCCTCTCTTTTTCTTTTTCTTCCCGGTAGTGTTTGCCGACACTTTTCTTTTAAAGCGAACCGGAAGCAATGCGAACTGGATTGATTTGAGACTGGGCACATTTTGCACTCAAACCAGTTTTCACTGGTGCATTTCCAGAGAGCTGTTCATCATTTATGTTCCCGACAGTGTTCCCAAACCATTTTAGTTGTTTAACTTGACATGTTATGTGTGTGTGCCTTGGTGCCAGCTAGACAGTAGCTGTGTCTTTCATCCTGTATCATCATGTATTTATTATTGATTTAAAAAATAGTTTTAAATGAGTAGTTCACCTAAAATACACCTAAAAACTCAAAAGATTGTTTTTGTTCCTTGAAATGGCAGAATGTTCGATCACATCATTTTCCGTGCAGTAAATATGAATGAGGATTTACGCAAAAAGTACCATAAAAGCGGTGCATATAACTTGTGCAGACAGTCGTCTGAAGCCATTTCGATAGATTTGTGTCAACTATAAGAGGGAAACATTTAAGTCTTAAGGTGATAGTTAACCCAAAAATAAAAATTCTGTCGTCATTTACTCACCCTCAAGTTGTTCTAAACCTGTATGAATTTCTTTGTTTTGTTGAACACAATTTTTTTTTTTTTTTTTTTGGGAGAATGTTGATAACCAGAAGTTTGATGGCCCCCATTGACTTCCATAGTATTATTTTTTTATTTTTTTCATACTATGGAAGTCAGTGTGGACCATTATTGGTTACTGATATTCTTCAACATATTGTCTTTTGTGTTCAACAGAGCAAAGAAACTCATGCAGGTTTGGAGCAACTTTAGAGTGAGAATAAATATTATTTTTGGGTGAACTATCCATTTCAGTGAATGGAATTTTAAATTTCGATATGTTCTGGCACAAAGATTTTGAAAGGCTTGGAACATAGGGCACAAGTCATATGGATCACTTTTATAATACTGGAAAAGTGAGAAATGTAATGGTTCAGAACAACATTAGGGTGAGTAAATGATGACAAAATGTTCGTTTTTAGGTGAACAATTCCTTTTAAAACTACTTTAGAGTTTATCTGCTTCCTCATAAGGGATCTTTAAAATGATACTTTTGCAATATGTGACATTGTGTAATTATACCAGCAATAGTGTTATTCATCTGGCTGCTCTCTTCGTCTGCTCCTGCTCTTTGTAAAGGACATGCTGAGCTTAATGCACACTGTGTACATTTGGCAAAGAAGGGGCACAGCTTGAAATTGGGTTGGGTTTTTGATTATATTTTTGGAGAGCTGGCTGCCTTGGCTTCGTGACTTTATTTAACTATCTTTACAGGGTTCAGATTTATGTATCTCGATCGTTACCTTGCATTTTTCCATCCATAATACAAGTGTATGTTTAAAGATGCGTCACGTCAAGGTTTGCATTTATTTTCAAGAATTGCACATTAGTGTCTATTTATCCAATTTACATGTGCAGAAAAGCTAAATGTCTGTCTTTTTAATTGTATTTTCTTTAAAAACCAAAGGATGTCTCGTCATAGGAGCAGCATGTCTGTTTCAGAGAGAAAGAAAAAATAATGTTTTTTTTTATTTTTTATTCTTGATCATGCACATTTTATACCAAGTTCTGAACTGTGTATATACAAATGTACAGTTATAACAGTAGTGAAGTCTGGTGTGAAATGCATGCAAGGTCACAGCAGAGGAAAGCATATCACCTCCCTAACTTGCCCCTCCATTCAGGGTTTTGTTCTCTCTACTTTTGCTTATTTATGGTGATATTTGTAATGCCTTATTTTAAATGCAGTAATCGGTTATAGCCTATAACCGCTGCAGTCTTGGTTTTGAGTTAAACGCCTAAGAAAAATTGGTCTTTGTTTTAATGGGGTCTATTTAAAAAAAAAAAAAAAAAAAACGTTGTAAAGCAATGTATTCCATCGGTTAAAAAAGATTCCCGGCTTTCTCCTGTAAAGTTTTCTCTATCTCTCTCTCTCTAAATATGTAATTCATCTGCTTAGACCCTATCACTGTTCTGCTTGACTGATTTATTCCCATTTCTTGTACAGATGTTGCTCACATGTCAGACGTGTCAGGACATATCTGATGAATTTGAGTGTCACTGCCATGGTGTCACAATGTGACACTTTTTAGAAGAACAAAGTTAACCGGTTACTATTTTCGGGATGCAATGTCATGTGATCTCAGTTGCTTGATTCTGCTGAGCCATGAAATCTCTGTAATGAGGTTTATGCTCTGTCCTGTGGCTTACTTTAATTCATTTCACTCCGTCCCAATTAAAAAATTTTGCTTTCTTCAAATTTGTTTTGAATTAGTTTTGCAGTGCAGTTTATTCTGACTAAATAGAATATTTTTCGATTATTGCATATTGCTAAAATTTAATTTCAGGAGATTCAGATGAGGTGTGTGTGTATGTGTGTGTGTGTGTGTGTGTGTGTGTGTGTGTGTGTGTGTCTGTGTGTGTCTGTGTCTGTGTGTCTGTGTGTGTGTGTCTGTGTGTGTGTGTCTGTGTGTGTGTGTCTGTGTGTGTGTGTCTGTGTGTGTCTGTCTCTGTGTGTGTCTCTGTGTGTGTGTCTGTGTGTGTGTGTGTGTGTCTGTGTGTGTGTCTGTGTGTGTGTGTCTGTGTGTCTGTGTGTCTGTGTCTGTGTGTCTGTGTCTGTGTGTCTGTGTCTGTGTCTGTGTGTCTGTGTCTGTGTGTCTGTGTCTGTGTCTGTGTCTGTGTGTCTGTGTGTCTGTGTCTGTGTGTCTGTGTGTCTGTGTCTGTGTGTCTGTGTCTGTGTCTGTGTGTCTGTGTCTGTGTCTCTGTGTGTCTGTGTGCCTGCCTGTGTGTGTGCCTGCGTGTGTGTGTCTTCCAGTGGCTGCCTCCGAAATCCCATACTCTCATGAGTAGGTAGGTATTTTGAATAGTAATTACTTAACCCTCTGATGGTCTTCAAAAAAAAGTCACACTCGTGGTCTTCGGGGTCTATTGGACCCCAGACAATAACATTTAATTTTGTAACAGAAAAATATTTATTTTTTAACAAATATAATTTTACTCTGTTTATTAAGGTTTTTACTCAACATTTGTGCAGTTTTTGGAGGATTTATGATTTCTTTTTAATTTTTATAAATAAATAAAGAAATATTTATTTAAATAGGATTTTTACAAAAAAAACTGCATTTTATGTTAAATAAACTTTGTAAAAGACCCAGATTTCTAAATTTCATTCCTGGGGATACCATGGATAATTTTACAAGGTTTAATGTACAATTTTTGCCCATTTTTTTGAAAATACAGGTTAAAATTTGTAATAAATCACTTTAACCACTAGATGGCTATAGAGCTCCACTAGGCATATGCTATTTGAATTACTGAAAGATATAGTTTCTAAAGTTGGATTCAGTTGGATTCATATCTAAATATTATAAATTAAATATTATATGTGTGTGTGTGTGCACATTTTGAATGTATCTTAGTGTTACCAATTTATTTTTGCGGTGGTTCTGCATTTTAGATTATTTTATTTTACAAATGATAAGAGAACAGTTTTTATAGATTTAATTTAACTTATTTAATTTAACTAATTTAATTTAACTCATAAATTTTGGGGCATCTCGCCCGGGTGGCGGGGTTACGTCCTGTTTCACATCTCTCATGCGGGTTCTTGTTGACCAGGGTCAGCGCGCACAATAGCGCACACAGGCAGGCACAGAACTAGCTAGCGAACCTAGGTCTAAACCTAACCCCTATCCGCCCCCCGGGCGAGATGCCCCAAAATTTATGAATCTCATTCCTGTCTATTGTATTCCTCTACATGTGTGTGTGCGCGTGTGTGAGCATGATAATTTTCATTTCTGTCTATGTGTTCTGCGTTATTTCTGATTTTGATGATGAATTGTGTCTATTTTGAGTCCAATGATAAATATGTATTTATTTATTTATAGATATTTAAAAGATATCATAAATCCTCCCAAAACTGCAGAAATGTTGAGTAAAAACATTAATAAACAGTAAAATTATATTTGTAAAAAAAAAAAAAAAGCTATTGTTCTGTTACAAAATTAAATTTTATTTTTTGGGGACCCCGAAGACCACGAGTGTGACTATTTTTGTCACGCCTACATAAAAACAGATAACATTCCATTTAAAAAAAAAATTTGTAGATCTAGAAAGTGTTGAGAGCCGTAGGAAGTTTCATACCATTTGGAAAAAGAGAACATTTTTTTTTAATTCAAGTAAAAGTCATTTGGGGTCCAGTGGAGCCCGAAGACCATCAGAGGAACACTGCTACTTGGGCGGAGTGATAACCGCAGCACCTGAGACGCGCTCTCTGCTCCTCACCACGGCGCGTCTCAGGTGCTGCGGTTATCACTACGCTCAAGTAGCAGTGCTTGTGCTTCGCCTTCAGAGAATATAGTTCCCAGTATTTATACGGTTAAAATATGTCTGTCTCATGTGACTTTGTTTTTTGTACACTCTGTGACTATACAAATCACAACATGTAAATAGGAAAATGTTTGCGTTATTTTGTCACTTATTTGGATTGCTAGCTGCCTGCAACCATTTACATCCAGTCTTTGTGCTAAGCTAGGCTAGCGGTGGGTGCGTCAAACAGACTTATAGCAGCACGGAGATGAAAAAGGTATGTATGGACTTATCTAACTCTTGGGAATAAGGTGAATAGGCTAAAGCCTCGCTCACACTACAGGAGTTTTAAAATCCTAACCGATTTTGAAATCTGGTTGCAGCTCACACTTAAGGAGAATCTTTGCAGATTTTCTTACCTCAAATCTTAAACATGCTCACACTACAAGATTTGAAAATCGTGGCGCATCACACACTACACAATGTTATTAAGATTCGTGCCAGAGAAAGCGCCTCACGTGATCTCACGCAACAGATCGGAAGCGGAAAGGTGGATGTAAACAAAATATCTGTCCTTCATATCAAGTCATATTCGTGAAAAGGTTGCCGTGTGACCAAGGAAAGCGAAATCATTTTAAAAAATCATCCTTTTAATAAGGATATTTCTAATGAATGGCGTCAGCTCTGTTCAATACAATGAATCAATGCCATAGATCTCTATAAGGTAAAGCATCAGCAGCGTTGCTCAATGCCCATTGCTGCTCAGCTGAGCATTGTAAAGTGGAGCTCAAAGTTAAAATTAAAATAATTAACAGCTTGTTTCATTTAACCTATCTTTGAATGAATATAACTTTATAATGAATATAAATATTTTATAATGAAAATATTTTTGTGTAGGCCTAGGCCTAATTCTGTGAATTACACTGTGCAAACCAAAGTAATAGCCTACAGTAGCTACTACCCACCGGAT